TTCTTTTTGTTACAGATGGGACCATTACAAGAAACCACAACTAGTCAAGGTGAAGAGAAAGTTGACCATGGGGTGCCCAACCTCAAATAATACACCTACAAAGAGACTGTGTAAAACTAACAGGTCTATATAACAGGCCGGGAAACATCAGGGATGAGGACTGGAAAGACTATGGAAGCCAGAAGACTAAGACTTCTGAATGAGATAGTATTTTCTACTAATGATAAAAGACAACACAGATAAAATCTGAACAATCAGATTGTCTAAACAAGATCAGCACAATGACAATACCGTTTTATATGACAATGTGAATAGAGAGAATGCCTCAAGGCCTTACCCCTTGATGAAGCAACTAGTAACTTGTGAGAGCAGGAGATTCACTCTTCTCCAGGGATGAGTCCCTAATAGTTTATCTAATCTCAAGTGGTCAGCACTGAACAATTTTATTTAGAAATACATACGCATAGAGGCATATGGAAGTGTAGTGCTTTAGTGCTTATGAACAACACAGAATGGACTCAGCGGGTTGTATTTATGTGTGAATACACACACACATCTATTTGTTTTTTTTTTTTTACACACATCTATTTGTACTGTGTGTGTGAAACAATAATAATTAAAGATGAGGTCATAATTTCAGAGCGAGTGGTGGGAGCAGAGGCAGAGCCAGAAAAAGTAGTGTGGATAGAAACCGTAAATATAGTACTTGTGTGAAATTCTCAAAAAATTAAAAGTTTAAATAAAAGAAGAATGCTGGATTATTTTATAACTCTGCGACAAATGAATATGTATATATTATATATAAACAATAATGAATAGATCTTAGATAGAAATACTACAATATTATGTCCAGAGCCAAAACACAAATGATGAAATGAACAGAAAAAAGGGAGGAAAGTTCTCTCCGTGGCTGGAAAGCAGTGAGGAAAAGGCTCACGTGGATTTGTGTTAGTGTCCTTTTGAGAATTAGGGAGACAGGAAATTTAGTTTTCTTAATTTCTTAAAAGGAAATAAAACACTCAGATGAAACATGAATCACTACTTAACTTTTTAATATTATAAGCTTTGCCTGAGTATTATAATTATTAAATATCTTTCTCTTTCATTAAATTTTATAAAATTTCCTGTGATTTTTCTTTGTCTGTGTGTATATATTAAACATTTAATTATTTTCATGACTTCCTTGGCATTTTTATTATCTTCTTTATCACAGCATGTTTCCGAATAAAAGGTTTCTTTCTTATTCTGGTGCAATTTCTACACTGGGTGAAAGAAAGGCAAAAATGGATAGTAAGAACTGAATTCTAGATCTTTTGTCCTATTGTATCCGTTTTGTACTGTTCTCTGTTTTGAAGGCCATGCTTTACATATTCAATGTGAACGGCAATATGAAGAAACAATGTTGTGGACAACTAAAGAAGCCTATTTAAGTAACTAGATCATTAAACAGACGGTCGAGATTAGTAGATTGACCTTCCGCATAGTAATTATGTATCCCCAAACTGCCCACTTTCTGGTTTCATCCCTATATCTCTGACAAATGTGTCATATCTCAAAAGCATTTTTAAATACAGATGTTGATTCTTTCCAAATTTCATATGTACATACAATGTATCTTGATCATCTTAACCCCTATTCCTCCTCCTACTTTTTCACAGACCTGCCCTATCTCCCCACCCCGTCACCTTATTTTCATGTTTTAATTCTTTGTTTTAGCTCACCAGTCCAATGTGTGCCGCCCCTATACTCACAGGAATGGTTAGTCCAGTTAGACCATGCCCTTGAAAGCTGAGTCTTTCTTCCTCTGAAGCTATCAACTGAAAATAGTTTAACAGCTTTTTCTACAGAGCAGTTTCCATAACTCCCACACATTTTCCAATATTTCCTTTTGCTATACTTATATTACTCCAAAAAATTAAAAGTCTAAACCTTGAATGTAGGAAAATCAGTGTTAATAGAAGCTTCAAATTATTGATGTGCTATTTAAAAGAGTATTTTACCTTATAAAATAAAAAAAGTAACTTAATTTCAACTCCAAAGAGTTGTCCTCTTACCTCTACATACTCATTATGCTGTGCATGCATCTGCACAGACAGAGAAAAGACAGACAGAGACGCAGACAGACACACACACATGAATGGACTTATGAGAGTTATTCAGAGAAAGTAGAAATTATGGGTGTGAGAAATCACTTATGATTTTGCCATCAATCCTTACTGTTCCGCCTCTTGGGAAAAGTAGCTCATGCAATACTCATAACTTATATGCACTTTGATATCCTCGTATCTTTCCAATTATAATATTTTTCTACAAAATTAGAAAGATTGATGTACTGGAAAAGTACTGAGAGAGAGAGAGGAAAGAAGAGAAAGTGAACAAAGAGATCCAGGATAATTCCTGTTGTCAAATGTTTCACCATGAATTTTTGATGTGTAATGAATAATGGTATTATTTTTAAATTGGTTTCATAATACAGAAGTGTAAGGAGTCAAGGAGAGGTGGCCAAGACAAGATCAAGAGATTAATGTGTTCAAGCCAAATGGATGAGCAAAGAAAAAGTACAATGAAAATTGAAAGGAAATATCAAGTAACAAAGAGAAATGAGACTCCTGAAAAGGAAGTAGCCACTGTCAAAGATACTAATGAAATGAATTAGATACTAAAACATCAGAAAGAATGAGAGAGAACAAGAGGAGGTCATCCTAGTCAAAATCAACCCCATAAATACTTAAAATTTACTCTTCAAAAATAAAACAATCATAATAAAATAAAACAAAAAATAATTTTTAACTCAAAAAGTGCTTCTGAAATAAAATTTGAGGAAACACTAAAAAAACAAAGCCAGAAAGCATGTTCCTAGGGTAAGTAATTTAGAGCATAGAGTGATAGAATGCCATCCTAGTGAACCACTAAGTGGTCTATTATTAAAGGATCCTCTGCTCAGCAGAAAAATAGAAATTAAAAATCTTAATAATCTATGGTGGTAAAATAAAGGATAATATGAGTAATACTGCCCTCAGTCAAATTGTACTTCAAGTGTAAAGCAAGAGGTAAAGGTTGTGAACATGGCAGAATTTGAAAATATTGCTTCCAACGGGCCTCCTTCGGTAGCCTACTGTGGGTGACTTTCAGCTGACCAACAGATGATAAAATAAACAAAGGAAATCGTGAACAGTGAAAGCTCTATTCTAAGATTTCCCCTAGACACTCATACACACACACACACACACACACACACACAAAACACATACATGGACACACAACCACATAAATACATGTATACACGTATACGTGAACACATATATACAAACACACATAGTGAAACACATACAGATACACATTCACACATACACATATATGACTTATGCACACACATTCACAAACACACACACACATACATAGACATGCACTCAGACAGAGAAACAAACACACATATACACAAACATTTGCTGACACTACACATATTAATACAAAAATACATTGAATTTTTAAAGGTCAGAGTAATAGAAAATGGGGTCTTCGGCTTTGCTTTGTTTTGTTTAGGAAACCGGTACCAAAGTGGAGCAGTGGCAGGCAATCACCTTGATGCCAATACTGAGGAGACCGAGGTGTGTTCCCGGCCTTCACAGAACTCTATCCTTTGCAGAACCCATGTTTGGAAATGGCTGACGACCACAGGTTGTGGTTGCTTTGCTGCTCTGATTTTGAATGCCATTAACTACAGGAGGAATGGATCACAAAGTTTGCATGGACAAAGGGTAAAAACCATGAGTTTAACAGGCTGGTGGGGCCCAGCCGCGGAGAAACAGCCAGTCGGGACTTTTTCTGAGAAACCTGAGAACACCGAGGAAGCCCTAGGCTAAAGGAGTAACCTACCTGAGCTCTACAAAGTGTCACACGCTACAGAAGAAACACTTGACCCAGTAAGGGACTGAAGGAGAGACATAGCCCGCAAACAAGGGCATCTCCATAGAACGTAGAAATATGTCCCAGGCAAAAGATCCAGCCTCGACATCTGATACGTCCAGTATGAAATAATTCCACCCTTTCCCTGTAAGAGGCAAAACCATAGCTACTAAGTTGGGTGTCAAAGGCCATGAGGAGGTTGCGAAAACCAGGAAGCAACTGAACATAGCAAACTCTGGGACACAGCAGAGAACTGCAGAGGTCCTTTCAGCATTAGTGTCAGAACCTGACCGCTGCACAGGAGCGCAATCGACTGATGAATGGAAACGTGTGTTCTGTTCTTTTCATCATGGTTCTATGCTTAAAATCAATGAAGCAGCTGCATTTCATTCTGTATCATGCCATCACAAGAAAGACAGAAGCTCTACAATTCTAGCTCAAACGTTCAAACATTGTACTGTATTGGCTGGTATCAGCATGAGTGTAGACATCAGCAGTTCAGGCTCTACTAGTTGTGCCACGTGTTATCTTTCAGAAACAAACTGGCACCCAGTGCATCATAGTTTTCTCATAGCTTTCCAGTCATATCCAAGCTGCCTGAAGGAATATATGTATGCATTAGCTATTTTTTTTTTATGGAACAAATGATAAGCTTTGACTGGAATAAAGCTAAAAATGAAGAACTTTAATGCATTCTGTGGACAAGACAGAACATTGTTAGGTGAGGTTGCCATCTACATTCTAATCTTATTCTGACTCCAGCTGTTCATAAGCTTAAAAAAATCTTTAAAATGTTAAGTTGCAAGTTGCAGAACTTAAAAACAAATCATTATTTTTCTGTATATTGCCTGCATGTGTAATTGCACCATGAGTCTGCCTGGTGCCCACTGAGACCAGAACAGGATGTTGGATCCCCTGAAATTGGAGTTACAGACTAGAAAGCTGCCATGCGGGTGCAGGGAATTAATCTTGAGTCCTCTAGGAAACACACGTAGCCAGTGCTCTTAACCACTGGGCTATCTCTCCAGCCCTTACATTGCAAAACATAAACAAGTAAACATTTGAAACCCACAAAGAGGATTTGGTGTTCCTACCTCTGTCTAAGATCTCTCTGATGACAGAGATGTAGTCCTCAGGCTCCTGCTCTGTTGAGATCTCCCATCTGCTTCCGGGGACATTTAGTAACTGATAGAATGGTGCTGAGCTCTCCATCCCACAAAGCAGAGTCACTACACTTTCTGGTGAGTGAAGTACCTTCTCCAGAAACTGACACTTCCTTGGCATCAAGTCTTTAAGTAGGCTATTAGATAATATCAGAAGTTTACATCTGTAGGCATTTAAGTCTAGCAATTCCAGATGTGAAGAAGAGAAACTCCACAAGGGATATAACAGGATTGCTTCTCTTTCTACAACATGTATAAATATCTCTCTCAGGTACAGGGCCCACTCCTCAGCATCTTCTTCATGTATCAGTAGGATAGCCTTTTCATTTCCTAAGAAAAAAAGAAGAGAGAAAAAATAGCTTCATTTTTCTTATAGTTGAAAGGCTTAAATCAAGTTATATTATCTTTGAAACTTAATACACTGCTTAGGAAGCATGCAATTTTGCTTAGAGCAGATACCAATATTATAAAATGTTGCTATCCTTGTTGTAATCATGCAGACTTAAAAAAAATAGTGACATAGAACACAGTCCATGTCTTGCAAGAGCCTTCTCTGAACTCACAGCATGAATATGACTCCCCAATAATCGACAGAACAAAAAACCACTTACATAAAGAAAGTCAACAGTGAAAACCAAAAAGGAGGTGGTGTGATCATGTTTCATTAATTAACAAGTCGCGGGCAGCCGAGATGACTTAGTGGGTACAAGTGCGTGTCGCCAACCCAAGCACCTGGGTTCAGTCACTGAGCCCCACGCCCTGCAAGGAGAGAACTGACTCCCATAAGTTGTCCTCTGACTTCCACACATTTCCTGTGGCCTGCGTAGTCCACTCTCTCTCTCTCTCACACACACACACACACACACACACACACACACACACACACTAAAATATATTAAAATTTTAAAATAATAAAAATTATCGAAATAAATTGAATGTACTCGTAGAAAAATACAGAACTAATGTCTATCTCTCACTCAGAACTAAGATACGTAAGGAAACAGAGCCGACAAAATCTCATGATCCTCAGGCATTTCTTTCCTATCTGGCACCCTATCACACAGCATGTGTGTCAAGGTCCTACAAGGCAGGCTCAAAGCTGAGTCTGGGAAACCAAAGTTCCCACTTCAACCTCTGCACAGCAGGAGAGGGGCGAGCCCTGCCAAAGACATTACGGAGACCACACAAGACCACTGACTGCAGAAGTTCACAAACCTCCCTTGCCTTCCCTTTTCCCTCAGCCCATACGAGGCAGATGAGAAGCCATCCATTTAAAAGCACCAAGTAAGATAAAGAAGAAAATAAAAAGAGAAACTTTCTTGCCCATACTAAAACAGAAAGTCTAACCTTGACTTAGATAAATATGAGCAAAGTAAATATTAGAAGTACCAGTTGTTTGTTTTATGAGATGACACCATGTCAAATCATAATAACAATGATCATCACAATAAAAACAATTTAGCATACAGGGACTGGTAAAAATAGTTAAGGGAGACACTAACAGGCCTTGGAAGCACAAAAGCCACTGTTGAGTGAAATGAGAGTTAAAAAACAATATGACTTAATTTATAAAAAGCACTTGACTACAATAGCCAGGTAAAAATGTGAAGTAATAACTAGATTAGAAATTGGGAACATTTTAATTTCCAACCTGAAACAAAGCCAGATGCTTCGTAACTAATGTTTAAAAATAATGAAAAGAGAGCATTGTACAAAAATATGATAAAGTGGATTAAAATAAAAAAGGATCATATGGATGACACACAGTCTGGAGGCAGACATGAGAAGGGGTTACACTGAGTCATTGTAAAGGGGTTTCAGAGACAGCTCCTTTGATAAAGTGCCTGCTGGGCAAGCATAATGACCTGATCTCCAAACCGCCACTTTAAAAATGCTTGATATGGCATCTGTAACCCTGGCACTGTAGGCATGGAGACAGGCATATCCCTGGAATTCGTGGAATAGCCAGTCCAGCTGAGCCCATGAGTTTCAGGTTCAATAAGAAACCCTGTAAGATGGAAAGCTATTGAGAAAAATCATCTTACATAGACTTCTCTTTCTCTCTCACACACACATGCACACACACATGAACATGTACATACATCACATATACCACAGTTGAGTACAAACATAATACTCTAAAGTAGAAGTGGTCCAGCTGCTAAGGGGGAAGGAGTCAACGGGAGAGGGAGAAGAGGTGGGGAAGGGGGGCGAAGGTGGTATATACTTTATAAAAATGTCATGAGGAAACCCCACTATTGTGTATACTTAATACGTGCTAATAATTGTAAAGATATTTTAAGATTAAAAATAAGCTATTTTATTTATGTGTGTTGTATGTATGTTAATGCGGCGCACACATCATATGGCAAGGAGAAGACTGACTGTCAGAAGTCTGACTTATTATATTCTTATTATAATGAATATAAAGTACCAGCTTTATGAGCCAATGGGACACAATTAGGAAAAAAAAAAGCTTGTAAAGAAAGCAAACACTTATTAAACTGACCTTAGTTTAATGGTTGTTATAAAAATCTCTTTCTATATCAAGAAAGAAAAGGTGAGTCAACCACAAGGAGAAACAGAACAGTGGTTTAATTTCTTCAGAGCAATTTCAACAGATTGCTGTGAATTATAAGTTAGTTCCCAAAAGGTAAGTTCCTCTAGCATGCTGATACCATTAGATACTGTGCTGTGCAGCAATGAAAAGAAATGAGCTGTGGCTGCATGTGGCACAGAGAGATCTAAGACAGCGCTTAGGGAAGTAAGCAAGAATGCACACAGTACAAGTATCTACTCCATTGGACATGGTATTTGAGACAAGGGTTGGTGGATCAGGCTGCGGAATGCTGCAGGAGCTCGCGAATTACGCTCTATCTTGATCTGGGTAGGGTTACATAAATATGTACATACACAGAAATGAGTTCATTTGCATAGCTTTGACCCTAGTGTCTTAAATTCTGGGTCAGAACCCTACGAGGTTTCTGAACCAAAATTCAATTCCACATCACATGCCTACTGAAACTAAGATATTTCTGGGCGCACGTTCCTGTCTGCGTTGTGTGACCTCACTGCAGACTTGGTTCCGTACTCTCAACAGGCACGTTTTGCACTGCGCATATTAGAACATCAAGCAAAGCAAATGCACACTACTCAAAACATTACAGCTCATATTCCAGACTACAATGTGTCGTGAAATGTGCATACAAAGTCATCTGCTCCTAGATAAACTAAGTTTAATTATAGGAATCAGCCTTTTAATTTTTAATACTGCTATTCCTCAAGTGTATACATCAAATTAAGACATCTTTGAGGTGTGCTGTGATAGGATGACTATTCTAAAAATTACTATTTGAGCAGCTGACTTCAATTTCATGAAATGTCTCCTGGTAAATTTTAGCTTGTCACTAGAACAACGTTTCCAGTTTTTGAAATTTCTCGTAATATTGTTCTGTCATTTCCCCTCTCTGGTGTTCTCAGCATTGGTGATTATAGAACATCAACAAACTCCAAAAATATTAAGATGCTTTTTGTCCCAAGTATCAAATATTCATCTGATATTTACTTCTTTATATAAAAACAAATATATTATTGGCATGCAGATTTGGTTGTCTGTAATAAATTATATATATATATATACACACACACACACACACACACACATATATATATATATATATATATATATATATATATATATATATATATA